TGCTGTACAGCCTCTGTGAGCCTCTGTGTTCTCATCTGCAGAATGGGTTTTCCAATTCCTGCTTCACAGCATTGCTTTGGGAGTTCAGTGAGCTCCGTCCCTGGGGTGTCAATCCCCCCGCCGCCCCTGCACATAGAGTCCTTGTCTTCAGAGTATCATCCCGTTTGCTGGAGGACATCTCCGCATCTCTGTTCTTCTGCAGACCCAGCCACCCCTGACAGCTGCTAGCCCTGGGCGCGCGCCTCCTCACACCCTGTTCCCTCCTTCCGCCCCTGTCCACCCGTCGGATGCCTGAGACGTGCCACCCTGTCACCTCCTGCGCCTGGCCTCGCGCCCTGGCCTGGTCTGTCCTGCGCGCGTAGTAGGGATTCTGCGGAGTCCTCTTGCATCTGTGTCCGCAGCCTGCAGCTGGGGCGAGTGCGGGGTTCCCTCGGGCGGACAGGCCTTGGGCAGTTCCTGCTTGTCTCCGTTGAGGACTTGCAGGGAGGCCTGTTAGCTCTTCCGAAATGAGAACTGGCCTTGTAAGCGAACCTGACGCGATAGTAGCAGGTGAGATCCGCGGTCAGCACGAGGGAGACAGAAAGGAGAGTCCAGGGAGCTAAATCAGCCTGTCGGGTTTGGTCTCTCGTTGGAACGGACTTCTGTTGGAAGCGGGACCAGCAGGCGGCTGAACCAATCACAGATCAGCCTGGAAGGAGGCGGAGTGGGGATTCAGCCGACCCTTTGGCTGATTTTTGACACACCTGTACGCACAGGGGGGTGTTGCTTAATCTGTTACATATTTTGGTCTCCCCCATTTTCTTGCATTCTTTTTGAAATGCGGGGAGTGCCTGCTCCCTCCTTGTGGGAACGCTCCCTCTCAAGGTCAGGTGGAGGTGGGCGGGGCTGGGGCGCGGTCTGCGGCCTCCCACACTGCTCTGTCCCTGCTGCCTTCCTTCATGTTCTTTTCCACATGATAAACCGTCCTGCTGTGTCATGCAGCCCTAATCAGAGCTGTATGTACATTTGTTTGATTTTTAACCAGGCCCTGGTTGCCTCCTTTTGAAAGGAGCCCTGGGTTCTGGCCGGAGGGGTGGAGGCAGAGAGAAGGGAAAGGTGACACGGAGGGGGAATGGCTGGGGGCAGGGAGTGCTGGGCCAGTGAAGGCTGTCATCCCCGTTTCCCCAACCGAAAAACTGTAGGTAGAGTAAGGCCCCAACTGCACCTTCTAGAATTCTGCATCCTTGCCCCCACACCCACCCCACAGGGGCCACTCTGTAGCGACTGGGTTTGGAGATAGGTTTGGAGAAGGTGCAGAGCTTCGAAGCCCGGAGCCTCCTTCCCTGGAGGGGCCGTGCCCTCCCTGACCCCCGGGGTCGGTGGAGGCACCGGGGAACCTGGGACCACAGCTGGAGTCTGGGCTGCGCCTGGGCCCTGGAATAATAACTTTCCACCTGTCTTCCAGACCCCGGCCACATGCCAAGGGGCCCTCTGCCATCACTAAACAAGGGTGCCCCTAAGGATTGAGCAAAGCCCCTGGGGGCTCTGCACAGCGGGGACGGGGCTCCTGTTAGTTTCCTGGGGAGGGTTCAGCAGGCGGCTGTGTGAGCCCCTGAGTGCAGTGTTCACGCCGGGTGTTGGGAAGCACAGCAGTGGCCCCGCGCAGGGGAGCTGGTCCGTTCCCATGTGCGGCACAGGGGCAGGCCGCCCGCAGGTGGGAAGCCTCGGCTAGCAGGGAAGCCTCAGCTATGCGGGTTTGAGCAAGGGAGATGGGAGTGGCAAAGACACCGTGCCATTGTTAAGCACCCACTGCATGCCCCCCACATTGTCTCACACCTGTGCCAGCGCCCCAGGACCTCCTTGGGCGTCTGGCCCCTCTGCCTGCCGATAGGCACGTTGGGCCAGCTGTACGTTAAGCACGTGTGTGTTCTTGGGCGTGTTGGAGCCTCGGTGTGGGCGACCTCGGGTACCTCTGCAGCGCGTGCAGACCAGCCGGCCGCGTCAGGAGCCACGGCTGTCGCGGGCCAGGCTCTCGGTGGGGGCCCTGAGGCTGCGGGCACTTCTGCCCTCACACCGTGATGCTCTGTGTTTGTTCTGGTCTGGTTGGTTGTTTTCAGTTCTTTGGCCCACTAAGGTAGAGGAACATTCCAGAACAGCTCCCCAGTCTTTCTTGTGTGAGAACATGCTAGGACATTGGCTCTCTTAGTCACTCAGTGCCCACCCGGTAGCAGGGTCTGTTCCCTAGTTTGGGGGATACCATAGGTACTCAAACCCCCAGCCCTCCCGGAGCCTGTGCTCCCGTGGGGGACACAGATGGTGCCTAACACGTGGGCAAAGCTGCAGTGTGTCTGGATGTGGGTGTGCCGAGGACAGAACCCCCACAGGGAAGCCCTGCTGAGGAGGGGAGGGAGGGAGCCAGGACAGAGAGCAGTGGAGGCAGAGAACAGCAAGAGCAAAGGCCCTGGGGCAGGTGCAGGTGTGTGACTGGTGGGGTCTGGGAGCAGCAAGGTCAGGCTGGAAATGAGGCCTGGAGGGAGTGCTGGGCTCCATCCACCATGGAAAGAGTTCTTCCTAGTGATTATGGCCTGCTGGCCACCGCACTAAAAGATTGGGATAATCACTCTATTTTGTAAATGAGGAACCAGGGGCTGGGACAGTCTCAATATGAGCTGAAGGCACAGAGCATAAATGCAGAATGGGAACACAGGCCATTGCATTCCTCCCACTGAAAAACCAGTCCGGTTCTTTCTTGTGATTGATAGTGGGTGGAAACCCTTGCTCGGAGTACAGGGTGGGGGCCAGACGCCCCTTCCCCTTCCCTCGTCCCGTGGCCGACGCCACCCCCCAAGATCACAAGTGGGTGTGTCTGGGGGCACATCCCGTGCCTTTGGGAAGGTCCGAGCTCCTACAAAGGGATCGCAGGTTTGGGCGGGTCTGTCTTGGGGCTTCACGGATGTGGACCCTGTCCCTTCCCTGGAGATGGAGCGTGCGTCCCGTAACCCGTGTGCGTGTGGGGAGTTCAGGTGAGGCCGTGCTGGAGTTTACCCGCATCCCATCCCAGTGCTGCCCATGGGAAGGCCCCCGCGCGGCCCCCCTCCCGCCCCCGAGAGCCGCAGATCCGATGTCCTGAGTTCTGGGCCTTGCACAGAGTGTTGGGTCTGCGGTAAGCTCATTGCTGTAACATGTTTGTTATTCTCTTACGATGGCTCCTGCCAATAAAGATAATGACAGGGGTACTTGTGACTCCCCAGGCAAGGGGGTTTCCTGCCCTTCACCACATCATGCAAACTCTTCCTCGTGGCACTGGCCAGGGGGTTCTAACTCAGGGCGATTAATGGGCACTTTTGCCTAGTGTCCCATTTTAAATTAGAAGAACTTCTGTACCACTCCTTCCTGGCTTCCTTTTTTGTTGTTTGAGTCATGGCGTCCATGCGTTTAATTGGGATTTAGGGAGAAGGATGCATAAGTCACAGTGGCGGCGGCATGAGATGCACATCTAGAATTCACGGACGCCTGCCTGGCTGTGCTCCGAGCCCTCCGGCACCGTCCTGGTGGGGTCTGATTCGCACAGAGCAGAGCCCGGGTTGAGAGCCACTCCTGGCCTTGTGCTCTGCTGATGGAGGGAAGGCGTGCGCTTGGTGGGTCTTACAGAGGTGGACACCTCCTGGCACCGGGGGCGGGGGTATCTCCCACAGAAGCTGAGTTGAACGTGTGTTTTTTTAGGCCTCTCATCTGGAATTCGGGGTCTCTGCAGGGTCCTCTGGCGCAGATCCCACAGAGGCGCCTTTCCGCTGGTGCCCAGGGTCCAACGGGCCTGGTTCTGGTCCCACCTCCACCTCCCAGCAGGTTCCTGACCTTGGCCAGTTTCAGATTCTCGTGGAGCGTCAGCTCTGTACGTTTGAGAAGGGAACACGTTTGTTTGCTAGACAGGCTGTCCTGTGATAATCAGAGCGAGCTGACGCTGACCCTGATGACCCTGAGTCTGAGTGCAGCCCCTGCCTGTCGAGCTCCCACCGCCGGGTGTCGTTCTCGGGTGCTTGGTGTATTTACGGGATCTTGTGGGTCATCCCCCCCCACCCCGCTCTGCAGGTCGATGGGCTTGCACACTGTCTTTCTCCTGCTTCTCCTGGGCACAGTTGAAATAGGAAGGAAGCCCGGGGTCACGCATGCCGTCCACACAAGAGCCCCCGATACCCCATAGGTCTCAGTCCTGTATCATCAGCCCAGTATTTCCAGAACCGCTGGGAGCTGCTGACCATGCTGGGGCCAGGAGCCCGAGTCCAGGGCAGGTTCCTTCGGAGGCCCAGTTGCCGCGGGCACACGGTGGCTCCCAGGTGCCCAAAGAGCGTGGGCGCCGCCCTCGGCAGCCCCCTTGTTGTGCTCTGCCATGTCACCGTGGGAAACCACATCTTCCCGCTCCCACTCGCGGCCTGGCTCGTCTTTCCTGACTGTCCTGGCAGGTGGAGGCCAGTGCACAAAGACCTGTTCCCGGTGTCCTGGGTCCTGCTGTGCCTTCATAGGACCTTCTCAGTGGAGGGACGCTGCGCTGTCGAGAAGTCTGGAAGTCTGGAGATGGGTTTCTGCCTCTCTCCCCGTGAGATTCAGGGCCCTGCCCTGTCTTCTGCACCCCGCACCCCGCTTCTTCACTCCTGGGGGTTTTGGAGCTCAGCTGTGCTCAGCATTCAGGCAAATGACAAAACTAACTCTGAACCCTCAGGGCAAGATGACTCCCCAGTGCAGAGAATCCAGAAGGTTCTCTAAGTGATGGTTCTCTTTGCACAAAAAGGTAGAAAGGGTCCTGGGTCCTGAAGCTGTTGGACTATTTGAATTGCTTTTGCTGATGCTTGCGTTGCCGGGGCGTAGATAGACTTTTGGGGTCATAGAGGAGTACTCGTCCCCGATTATGGTGAGCTGTCTGTTAGGAGTTCATTTTTTTGGGCAGATGCACACATGCCTCCCGAGAGCCCAAAGCCCCCTTTTCCAGCCTTGACTTACCACCAGTCTCCCGTTTTTTCCCCCAGTGCTGCACACGCAAGGCCCCGTCGATGGCAGTCTTTATGCCAAGGTGAGGAAGAAGAGCGCCTCGGATCCTGGCGTCCCCGCCGCCGGCAGCCCAGACCACGGCGACCACACCCTGTCGGTCAGCAGTGACTCTGGCCACTCCACCGCCTCTATCAGGACCGAGGAGCACCTTGCTGTGGGGCCCAGGCGGGGCCTGAGCCCCCAGGAGAAGGCCGAGCTGGACCAGCTGCTCAGCGGCTTTGGCCTGGAAGATTCTGGAAGCCCCATCAAGGACATGACCGATGCTCCCAGCAAGTACAGTGGGACACGCCACGTCGTACCTGCTCAGGTGCACGTGAATGGGGATGCCACGCTCAAGGACCGGGAGACGGACATCCTGGATGACGAGATGCCCGGCCATGACCTGCACAGCGTGGACAGCATCGGGACCCTGTCCTCCTCGGAGGGCCACCAGTCCGCCCACCTGGGCCCCTTCACCTGCCACCAAAGCAGCCAGAACTCCCTCCTGTCGGACGGGTTTGGCAGCAACCCCAGCGAAGATGCCCACGGCAGCCTCGCCCCTGACCTGAGCCTCGGCGTGGACGCCCTGTATGAGCGGGAGCGGGCATTCGGGATCCGAGACTCCAAGCATCCGCAGCCGGTGCTCCGGAGGCCCTCTGTGTCTGCCCAGACGCGGGCCTACGGACAGAGTGGCTACTCCACGCAGACCTGGGTGCACCAGCAGCAGATGGTGACTGCCCACCAGTACAGCTTCGCTCCCGACGCCGAGGCCAGGCTCACCGGCCGTGGCCCGGAGGATGGCTCTGGCCTGGTGCAGGCCCAGCCCAGGGTTCCGGTCACCCCCACCCGGGGGGCGGGCGGCAGAGTGGCCCTCCAGAGGGGCATGGGCCCCGCGCCCCATGTCCCCGATGCACAGCGGCCCCCTCCCGGCAAAGCGTGCAAGCCCAGGTTTCCAGACGTCAGAGTCGTGAACGGGACTGGAGCGGAGCCGAGCACGGACCCCTCCCCAGGCTCACCCACCCTAGACATCGACCAGTCCATTGAGCAGCTCAACAGGCTCATCTTGGAGCTGGACCCTACTTTTGAGCCCATCCCCACCCACATGAACACGCCGGGCAGCCAGGCCAACGGCCCCATGCCCCCTGAGAGCGTGGGCGGCAGGCTGCGGGTGAGCAGCCTACAGGACGCGGGAGAAGGCCCGGGCAGGGCCTCCGTGCGGCAAGGTGAGCGGGAGTCCCACGGGATGTGCACTTGTCTGTGTCTGTGTCTTACGGGACGGGGCCTTGCAGAGGAGTGCGGGGCTCGTCCTGGGTCTGGGGGAGGGCAGCAGAGACGAAGGGGGGCCCCTGGGCACAGCCTGGTGGGGACAGGTCAGCATCTGTGCACCTAGCTGGCTTTGCAGGGAGTGGGGGGGCTGCTCATGGGTCCGGCAGACCCCAGAGGGTGGAAGACTCAGGAGTGGGGAAGGATGGTGGCGATGAGGGAATCCCAACATGGGTCCCCACATTCATGAAGCCAGACACCTGGAGGGCACTGCTTGTCCATTACAGCTGCCCCAGCCGGCCCTGGTCCCCACACCACACGGGCGCTGCAGACCTCCTGAGTCAGCACGGCCCCACCACTGCAGGGGTGCACCGAGCCCCCCACAGGGACTGTGCCCCTCATGTTGGGATGGGGTCTGTGACTTGCTCTCCGTGTCAGGGAGGCATAAAGCTGTGGGGACCCAGAGAGCTGGCCAGGTGGGTGTGGGGGCCAGCCAGCAGGCAGAGGGTGCTGGAACGGAGGGAGGGGGTCAGGGGCAGGGAACAGTATGTGAAGGCCGCGTGGAGAAGGTGCTTCCACACACAGAAGATGGAGCCCGGCGGGCATCCAAGCGGGGATGCCATGGATGTCTGGGGAGGCTGAGGGGGCTGCGTTCTGGACACCTGTCCGCTCTCAGGCAGGGGCCTGGACCCAGAGGCCACCTTAAGGCTGCGAGCATCGTGTCCACGTGAGGCCAGGCTCTCCTGCATTGGGATTCAGCAGGCTCCCTGGGTCCCTGTAGGAGTGAAGACAGGAGGGGTCACGAAGGGGGGCGTGCTGTCACCTCCCTGTCCTTCTGTGTCTGACCCTGAGTGCTGCGCATCATGCTGAGTCCGTAACACTGACGGACGGATTAACATTCACTGGCAGGGTTCTCTGGACCCCTTTCATCTCCTTAAGGCCCCTTGGCTGCAGGGACAGAGGCCCATCTTAGAGTTGAGTTTTTGGAGGTGTCAGTAGATGAAGTGACCCGCCCAAGGTCACACGGGTCACATACAGTAGAGCAGGAAGAGGTCTCTGGTCTGCACCCAGACACCCTGGCCGCTGCTGGTAGGAGGCCTGTTCCTGAGCACCCATGAGCCGACTCTGAGAGAGTGGCTCCCGGTGTTGGGACGGGTGGAGCATGGCGTGCGACTCCAAAGTGAGGCTACGGCTTTTGTGAGCACCCAGCGGGGAAAGGCAGCCTGCCTGAGGCTTGCCCTGCATCAGCCACAAGGGAGCTTGACAGTGTGGAGGCGTGCTCACAAGAGCCCACAGGCAGGCTTTGCCTCCCGTTCTGGGACATCCTGTCTTGATGACAGTCCCATCAAAAGAAGGCTCATGTCTGTAGCTCTCAGACATTCAGATTGAGGCGAAAGGGAACTTCACTCCCTGGTAGGTATAGAGAATACTGGAACCTTTTTGGTTTTTTTTTTTTTTTTTAAGATTTTATTTATTTATTTACGTATGTATGTATGTATGTATGTATGTAAGAGAGCATGCATGTGCAGGGGAGGGGCAGAGGGAGAGAGAGAATCTCAAGTAGACTCCGTGCCGAGGGGAGCCCCAAGGAGAGCTCAATCCCAGGACCCTGAGATCATGACCAGAGCTGAGATCAAGAGTCGGACACTTAATGGACTGAGCCACCCAGGTGTCCCAGGACCATTTGATTTAAAAACTTAAATGTCAGTATTTGTACTTCTTGGCTGGATCAGCCAGCAACAGAAAAAAAAAAACGTACTAGGTGGCAGGGGAGGTCCCAGCAGGGTAGCTAACCAACTGGTTTTGAGTCCTGGAACCATTCCAGGTTTGGGGATGCAAGAAACCTGTGCTTTGAAGAGCTTCCAGATCCCTAGCCTTAATGGGGAGGCCAGGGCTGCTGAGCTGAGCCACATGCAGCCAACCAGGAAGGACCGGCGAGTCTGAAAGGCGCCATGGCATGCCCAGCATGGTGGCCATCACCCCACACGTGCATCATGTCTGTGTCCCTAAGGCTCGGCCCCAAGGACACATGTCTGACCAGAGCCACCTTGAGTCTTGCTCAGATAGGAAAGGGGTGAGAAAGTTCCAAGGTGCTGTATCTTCCAGCGAGACCCTGCCTGGTCTGCCTTGTGTCTCAGGTGCACTCCTCGCTGTAGGAAATACCTGGATGCAGGGACCTCAGCGTCCAGAGGTGAGTAGGATCCCTCACTCTTTGTAGAATGTGTACTGATCGTAAGAAAGACCACCAGTTACCTAGTGGTAGGAAGTTGGGAGTGACATTCCCCGGAGCTCCTTCTGGGGACTGCTGCGTGTACTGACAGCTCATGAGTGGCTGCACACCCACTGTGGGTCTGGTTATTTCTGAGAGGAAGATTGTATGGGAAAGCTAAGCATTTCCTGAGAAAGTCTGCTTGATACCAGCACTGTAGTCATAGTGGTAATGGTGATGATGATGATGGTGCTAGTGGTGATGGTGACAGTGGTGGTGGTGGTGATGATGATGGTAATGATAGTGGAAGTGGTGGTGATGATGGCAGTGATGATGATGATGGTGATGGTGGGGATGATGGTGATGATGATGGTGATGATGATGGTGGTGGTGATGATGGTACTGATGGTGATGATGATGGTGATGGTGATGATAGTGCTAGTGGTGATGGTGACGGTGGTGGTGGTGATGATGGTGGTGATGGTGGTGGGGGTGGTGGTGATGGTGGTGATGATGGTGGTGGTGATGATGGTGGTGATAGTGATGGTTGTGATGATGGTGATGGTGATATGGTGATGATGATGGCGGTGGTGATGATGGTGATATGGTGATGATGATGGTGGTGGTGATGATGATGAGGGTGGTGATGGTGACGATGATGGTGATGGTGGCTATGATGGTGATGGTGGTGGTGACCACTGGTGTAATAATGGTGTTGATGATGACGGTAACAATTATGGTAAGCTCTGCCACTCGGAGCGCTTGTGCTGTCCCAGGCATTATGTTTGAGCTTCTCTGAGTCACCCATGATCTTTATGCCTACTGTGGTATGTAACCAGAGCTTCCGTCTGCCTGACTGTGCGTTCCATGGCTGAGCCCCTATTCCACTCAACTCTGACTCTGCCACCAGCCAGAAAGCCCCTTTGTGTCTTGGCACTGGTGATTGTCAGTAGAGGGGTGTGGTGCTGGCAGGAAGGTGGATGACACTCCAAGGACCCATGTGGCTCTGTGGAATTCAAGAGGCTCATCGCAGGACATTGTTGGGAGCCTGTCCCTGCCCACAGACAGGAAGAGTCATCCAGAGGTGGCCTGTCAGAAAGCTTTCACCCTGTGAAAGGGGGTGAGTTGGGGGGGAGTTGGGTTTTGGGGTGTTTCTGTGTCTCTGTGGCTCCCTCAGTCTGCTCTGACACCCTGGCTGTGCACCCCTCTGTGCAGCCCGGCACATAGGTAGGTTTCTCGGGTCACATCCTTTAAGTGGAGAGACTTTGCCTGATGATACCCAGGTAGCAAAGGAAATGACTCAATTTGTAAAATGTATGATCCCACGGATGGCAGGAAGCCAGCTCTGTTTTTCCCATCCCTCAAGGGCTCCTTGCTTCACGTTGCCAAATATTTTGTTCATGTTACATCAACCCCCTAGCCCACAATGACAGGATCCTGGCAGACCTCCCATTGTGTTTGCGGGACCCTGCTTCCGGCATTCTTCATGTTCGTCTACAGACGCGGACATCCACCGCGTTAATACTCAACTGAGTCAGGGAACTTGTTTATACTAAGGGGAATTCAGAGCAGTGAGAAGGAGCAGCTCTTATTTTAAGTAGGCTCCATGCCCAGCACAGAGCCCAAGGTGGGGCTTGAACCCACGACCCTGAGATCAAGACCTGAGCTGAGATCAAGAGTCGGACGCTTCCCCGACTGAGCCACCCAGGTGCCCTGAGAAGTAGCAACTTTAAATCATCGATTCTGGATAGCCCATCCATTGAAGTTAGATGTTAAACCCCAACCAAAGGGATCTAGTGTGAGAATGGGAGGGTATGTGGGTGCTCAGAAAGCAGCCTGACATCATTGCCCTGCACACCTTGTTTTCCATGTGAGAGACCCACAGATGTGCAGCAACCCAAGGTCACGTCAGCACCAGGACGGCTGCCTCTGAGCAAGTCCGCAAGGCAAGGGGGCCTCAGCAAGAGCCCGGCAGCGAGGCCTTGCCTGTGGAGGTCTGGGAGGGGGCGGCCACAGCTTCCACGCCCAGAGCGGCCTGATCCTGCATATTAGGAGAAATGGAAGTGCTTGTTGCATTTTGGGTTGCTGGCAACGCAGTGCATCCGTGGTGATTTTCTAAAGTCCCAAGTTCAGGGGCGCCTGCGTGGCTCAGTCATTAAGCGTCTGCCTTTGGCTTGGGTCATGGTTCCAGGGTCCTGGGATCGAGTCCCGCGTCGGGCTCCCTGCTCAGCGGGAAGCCTGCTTCTCCCTCTCCCACTCCCCCTGCTTGTGTTCCCTCTCGCTGTGTCTCTCTCTGTCAAATAAATAAATAAAATCTTTAAAAATAAAATAAAGTCCCAAGTTCAGTGGCTTGTGCAGTGCATGCTGCAGTCAAGCTCATCCCCATTAGCGGTCAGCCCTGTCTCCCGGCCCCCGGCCTCCCCTGATCTGCCTTCCAACTCTGGGTTTGCCTATGCTGGGCATTTCATCTAAATGGAATTGTACAATGTGCGTCTGATTTCTTTCGCTGAGCATCTGCGCTCATCCAGGTTGTAGCGTGTATTAGAGCGTCATTCCTGTTCAAGGCTGAATTGTATTCCACAGGGCGATTGGACACAGTATGTATGCCCATTCATCCGAGTGTGGATACTGCGTCAGTGCTACTGTGAACATCCGTGTACAAGTATTAGTCTGAATGTGTTCAGTTCTTTTTTGTTTTTTAAAGATTTTATTTGAGAGAGAAGGAGAGAGTGCACAAGCAGGGGGAGGGTCAGAGGGAGAAGCAGGCTCCCCGTGAGTGCGGAGCCTCACATGGGGCTCGATCCCAGGACCCGGGATCATGACCTGAGCCAAAGGCCGCTTCACCGACCGAGCCACCCGGGCGCCCCAGAATGTTTTTAATTCTTGAGTGGAGCTGCTGGGCCACTTGGCCCGTTTTTGTTTAATGTGTCGAGGGACCAACCCCTCCGTTGTTTGAAAGTTCGCTTTGGAGACCCCCTGGCCTCTGGCATGGCTGGCTTGTTTCCCAAAGCTCTTGCCGTGGGTGTGCTAAGAACAGGTTGGTCCACATGGATGTGACCCCCTAATGGACACATGCACCATCACTTACGGACAACTGTTGTTTGTTTAACCCGTGGGTAGAGGGTGGTAAGGTCTTCTGTGTCGGGATAGAGAGGTCATGTCATCTCTAGCAGGGGTGGGCCTGGGGCCTGGGGGTCATAGCTCTAGTCTTCCTTTCTCCTCATAGCCCATCAGCCAGCTGGGCCTGCGGCCGCACCTGCCCACATTACCATCCACTGAGGGTGGTCCTGAAGGTGGACAGCTCTGATGACCGTCCTAGGTCAACGGTATGGTTGTGGGGCGCCTGGGTGGCTCAGTCGGTGAAGCATCTGCATTCAGCTCAGGTCATGATCTTGGGGTTTTGGGATCGAGCCCCGCATCGGGCTCCCTGCTCAGGGGGGAGTCTGCTTCTCCCTCCCCCTCTGCTGTGCCCCCTGCTTGTGCTTGCTCTCTCCCCCCACAACAAATAAATAAAATCTTTAAAAAAAAAATAAAGCTGCGGTTGCTAAACGATGATGCGTTTGAGGAGCAGGCCAGCAAATCTAGTGGTTTGGGGAGGGGAAAGATCATTCAAAGGGAAAATAAATTCAAAGACGTAAGAGGGACCCGAAACCAGGCACCAAGCTCTGCTGGTGATGTGTCTTCAGTGAGTCGGGTAGTGGTCTTGCCTTTTGGTCGCCGTGTGGCTTCTTACATTTTGCTTGAAGTCATATCTGATTTTGAGTAAGCGGTGGGAGGAGGATCGCCAACGCTTCTCATATTGGAAGGGCAGCCTTCTAGCTTTTTGGACATATCCTTTCCCTTTTAAGTGCGCCTTTGGGGAAGAAATGCGACCTAACCAAGCACTTCAGTGTTTCCCAGTGAAAAGGATTTGCAGTTTTGCAATCCCAAAGACAGGCTTGCCTTCCTCGGCCCCCTGGCCTCATTGTGCTGGTGACAGCCCACTCCCACGGGCTCCCCCGGCGCTGGGGTGGGTCCGGGGGGGGCAGTGGAAGGGGACCCGGAAGGAGAGAGCTTGAGCGTTGGCCGGTGCTAGGCATTTCTAACAAACGTCTCCCAGCTCTTTGCGAATATACCCCACAGGTGGCAGGGACAGGCCACCCCTATGGCAGCTTAGGGAGAAATAAAGCTCCTCGAGCCATTCTCGAACATTTAAGCTGGGCAGGTGGGCTTTTCACTTTCACTGTCATGCTGAGCAGATCCTTCGCCCTCTCCCACCCTCTCTTGAGAAGCTGCACGTGTCCAGTTGAATGAGCTGAACTTAGGAGGCCTCCCACAACTGCGGGGCAGTGTTTGGCCATTGTTTGTCTTCACTCCTAGGAATGCAAGGGAGTTTCCAGAACCCACTGTGCATGCCTCTATGAAGCAGCACTTCATTCTTCCACGGTTGTATAAAGATAAATAAATAGCTTCAGGGCACTTTGCCTCCTAGTGGCCCAGATGGAAGACAAAGGTTGTGTTCTCAGAGGTTTCCATCGACGCTCAAGGGCCGGAGTCTGCCCCCTTGGCTACACAGAGCAGTCACCTGGGAACGTTAGCAGATGCAGAGACGGCTTCCTCCTCCGGAGGGCCGGCTTGGAGTTGACCTGGGCGGGAATCGAGCGTCAGAATTATTTTAAACGCCCCCCCCCCCCCGACATGTGGAACTCCGGGCTTGAAACCTGCCTCTGTGCTCAGCGTGGTCATGAGTTTTGGGACCCTTGGGAAGTTGTTTAAAAAAATGCCAGGCTCTGGGCCTCACTCCCAGGGAAGGGGTGAGGTCTGCGTGCCAGGAATTTCAATGCCATGCTAATGTGCGGCCAAGTTTGAGAACTGTTGTTTTGTACTTGTGGTTCTGCCTGGGCGTGCACCCTGCTCACCTGGAGGGCTGACCCGCGCTCACTGAGGCAGGAGAGCCCCGCCTGAAGGTTCGGATACGACCCGTTTCCAACCCCTTTGTGGAATTTGGAAGCTGTTCAGGAGTCTCGTGCGGGGGATCAGGGTGGTGACGCCTGGTCTGGGCTGTATTTCGACAGCGCAGAGGAGGGGCTGGGACCCCACCTCGTGAGTTGTCAAGCTCTTCACCTGTGGACAAGATCACACAGTCCCCTCGAGAGGTCTGAATCGCCCTCGTGGAGTGTAAGGAAGATACAAGTGGTTCTGAATTACCAACGATCAGTGTATTTACAAACAGGTGCAGACTTGCCAAGGGGCTTCTGTTTTGTTTTTTTTTAATCCAGTTTTTTAGTGAGTAATCGGAGCAAGTCACATCCTGCACCTCTGTTGACTCGGTGGCAAATTGATGACCACCATGCTGATCTCCCAGGTCAGGCTGAATTTAGTCCTGGTGCGAAGAGCTTTGTGGGCACCCCACGGTCTTGGCCTGAATCCTCTGCTTCCGTAGAGGCTCAGTGGGGGCATCCGGGTACCCCAGATGAGGACTGTCCTCGGCACCTGGGAATTTCCCTGCCCTGGCTCTCACCACACCTTCTGGTGACGGCTGGTGTGAGTTGCATCCACCATAGACCGGTGACTGGGCGTGCCGGGGGCTTCTGTCCTGGTACCGTAAGCTCTGCGGGGCCCAATCACAGCCAGGCTCCATCCCTACATGTCCCCTAAATGACTGAATGACCCAGCCTGCAAACTCCTGCACCCCACACTGAATCCGAGCCTCCTGGAGCCTGGCTAAGGCTGAGCTGACCCAAGGTTTGCAGGCTCAGCAGGTGTATCCTGTCCTTGAACCCAAGTACTGCCCCCTCCCTGGGAATAGTGAATTTGCAAAAATGAGATACGTGGGTGTTTGGGAACAGCAGCAAGGGGGCCTCCCGGGGACACCTGCCCCACTGTAAGCCTGGGGAGGGGAGACTCGAGGCCCAGGGTGTGTGGTGTCCGGTGGTGTCCGGTGGCAGGAGGAAAGGAGACCAGTTGAAGACCTGTGAACACCCAGCAGAAGGGCTGTTGGGGTCTCTCCTGCCTTCATTTGGTCTCCTGTATCCCTCTTTCCTGGATGTGACTTCTTCATTGAAAAGGAAAAACGGGGGCATGGCCAGATGGATGTAGCCGATTCTTTAATACAATTTGGAGAATAGGTTTGAAGTATCTCACTCTTCAACTCAAGTGAAGTCTAGGCATCTTGTTTTTCTGACTTTAAAAGTGATACATATCAGAGCACAGACCGCGGTCCAGCGTCGCAACCACCAAAAGGCCACCAAAAATCCTCCGTGCACACTCAGCGAGGGGAGGGTGGGCTCCATCCTGGCGACAGGGGCTCGCCTTGGTGCTTCTTGAGCACCTGCTGTGTGCGAGTCACTGGGAACCAGATGCACGCAGATCCCTCCTGGGAATGATGCTGGGAGAAGCAGGAACTGAACAAAAGTGGGTTCCAATCGTGACAGGCTGGGACATCACGCTCGGTGACAGAAGCCAGAGAGCAGAGGACACCCGGTGGATGATTCTGTTTATAAGAAACATCCAGAACCGGCAAGACCAGAGGTCACCGGGGCGGGGGGAGGGGAGTGGGCAGTGGGAGCTGAAAATGTTCTGGAACTAGAAAAAATAAGAGTGTCAATTTGGGAAATTGTAGTCAGGTTTTAATTAAGGCCTCTGTCCTCTGCTGTGGGAAAAGCACCTGCAGCCCATGTGTTTCTCCTGTCAGGCTCCTCGGGGGACGAGCCGCTGGGCGGAAGGTTCCGGAAGCTGAGCCTCGGGCAGTATGACAACGATGCTGGGGGGCAGCCGGCCTTCTCCAAATGTGGATGGGGAAAGACCCCCGGTGCGGACCAGGCCTCAGGTCTGGCACCTTTCCTCTCTCCAGCAGACGCCAAAGAGGTAGGCACTACCCCCTGACAGCTGGACCAGTGCCCTTCCTGATCGCGGTCCCATTGCCACCCCACCTCCCGCCCGTCTCGCAGGCAGGGGTGTGGTTGGGAGAGCCCAGGTGTGCAGCCCTACCCAGAAGGCATGGCGTGGCCACCGTGGGCTCCGCTGGGCCTCCGCTCCTGGACTGCGTGGTGGGGGGAGGCGGGAGTGTGCAGGTGGCTCGTGGGTGCACGGCGGTGGCCAAGGGGACGTGGACTTCCCCAAGGTCTTGGGCTGTGGGAGGGAAGCAGGAAGCAAGTGGGTCAGCGTGGCTGTGGGCCCCGTGGTGGGATCCACGGAGCATCTTCTAGGCTTTCATCAGAATGCAGTAAGATAGGTCGCACCCCGAACGATGAGCCCGTCCCCATCGGTGTTTTCATCGTGGTTGAGGCAGAAGGTGGGAGCCCAGAATAGCTTAGAAAAGAGATACCTGGATAAATCCTTCTGTGTTTTTCTCTGTGCTGTGGTCTCACTGCCTGTGAGCACACACACCACAGGCAGGGATGATTTTATCCTGTTCTCCACCGGGTGCCCGCCTCCCCGGTGCCGTGCCCCGTCTCTGCCGGCTCCATGCGGTAGCAGGTGGATGGACCGTGGGGACTCCCTCTTCCTTTGAGTTGTTGAAGCTCTTCCCAGTGGCCACCAGTGGCAGGGCCGTGCATGGGGACCCGGCCCCCTGTTCCTGCACGGTGGGTCAGCCCGGGCCCGCCATCAGGAGGTGGCCTTCACCCGACTCCCTGTGCCAATTCCAGACGGTGGCCGCCGCGTACCCCTCAGACCCCAACGGGATCAGCAGCAGGACCTTCACTCCAACCAAGGGTGACTCTGACTCGGCCTGTCCCACGCCAGCATTTCCCGTGTCTCCAGAAACACCGTATGGTAAGCCAGAAGCCAAACCTGCAGCAGACAGTGGCACCCCTTCGGGGAGGACGCAGCAACAGAACTTCACTCTGCTTTCTTTTCCAGTGACGACACCCCCACATTATCCGCCGTTCACCCCGCCTGGGCTGCAGGGGGGCAGCGCCGGCGGTCTGTACAGAGGAGCTCACGGTAAGAATCCCTCCTTTCCTCTTCTCCGGCATCTCATGCTGACATGTTTCCGTGGGAGCCACATCTCGGACACCTCCAAAGTGAGGAGGGCTCTTGCCTGGGGGGTGCGGCCCGCTGGGGGTTAACCGCGTCCTGCGGGCGCATCTCTGTGCATCCTCACATCTGCCCAGCAGGCAAGGGGAAGGGTCGTGGGTGCTCGGAGCACAGTGTCCGTGGTTTTCAGCTCCTCCTACCGTTTCCTGGAGCTGGAAGAAGAAGCTGGAATGCCTGCCCTGCCCTTTACAGAGGAACCTCGGCTTGCGGGGTCAGCGAGCTCTCTGCTCTGTGCTTCAGGGCCGCCCGAGACCCCCACCCGTGGTCCTGGATCTCCCCCGGGGGTGACGACCTCTGGGACGGGTGTGTTGTGGCCCTTGCACACTTCCCCATCCTCGGCATGGTGCTCGAGTGCCCACAGGCCCAGGGGAGGGGACAGCAACCGGCAGCAGCCATGGGGCCAGTCTGCACCCCTTCCTGGGGACATCCCCCTCTTGCCTTGAGGGCCCAGGATAGCCCAGCCTCAGGCACGGGGAGAGGGGATGGAGCCGAAGTCCCGCCTGTGTTTAAAACTTTTCTTCTCTGTGCTTGTAGATACTTTCTGGTGCTGCCTGTCTGGGGAAGGCCCGTGAGGGTTCTGGGAGGGGTCATCAGGTACCTGGCAGAGGTCGTAGTGACAACAGTTGGTGCCACGTCCCTTCTTTCCCCAGATCTGTGTGTCATTTACAGGAAGGGCTGTCCTTCTCCCAAAGGTCTCCTGTGGCTTTAGACCATACACGCTTCTCTTTACGTGCAGAGCAGAGCGGTTAAATCACCGGCCTTCCTTGGCGTGGGGTTGGGGGGGAGCTGACACGTGGGCAAGGGGAGGGTGTGCAGTATGGTTGCATGCGTTTGTGCACTCTGGAAGCGTCCCACGGGAGCAGACACCATCCCAGCGTGTGTCATCACGGAGACGCACGCACGACATCACATGTCTGTTCTGCATTGGAACCATGTAGGTGGTGGCAAACACAGGGACATGGCTTCTGCCTCCACTCGTCCCCCTCCTCCTCCCTGAGCCGACCACGTGTTTAGACCAGCTTTGTGGGACACATGCTGGTGATGGCCGTGGGACATGGATGATGAGCCCAAGGAAAGAAAATACCGGAACAAACCTTCAGACCGCGGGCCCAGCAGAGCGCAAGGGCCCTGCTTGCGTGGGGTGGTCCCGCGTGCTGGGCGCACCCCGGGCGGTGACTGCAGGAGCTCATGTGTAGATGACATTTGCTCCATGGTCTTCACAGCATGATGTCTCTCTTCTTGTGGTCACATTACGGGAGCCGCTGTCCCTGTCGTCCCACTCACAGGTGGGGAAACGGACACAGAGAAGTTCAGCATATCGCTCGAGCCACACAGCAGGCAGGGGGCAAAGCCAGGACTACACGCCGGTCAGCCTCATCCCCCAGCCACGGGTGTTTTGTTCCACATTGTCAGGTTAGACAGGGCCTGGATTTAAGTCCGGTCATAGAATGAGTGTGCCTTTCATAGTTAGTGACCCTCTGAACCTGTTTCCTCGTCTACCAATACAAGAATGCCTCATCTGTGACCAGCGTGCAGGGGTGAGATGGGATGTGTTAGGCATCTAACATAGTGCCTGGCTCTGTGTCATTTAGCACCAGGTGCTACCATGTGTATACATGAGAGTATTTGCTTTGAATCCTTGTCAGGAGGGTGGCATTGGCCTCCTGGCATGGAGTAGACATAGCCTTCCCTGTCCCCCCACTCTGAGAAGTACACACACACCTGGCAGTATGTCAAACAGATGCCAGAAGGCTGAGCCGTGGAGGAAAGAAGCAGACTGACCGTGGCCCCAGGACCACGGAACCTGGATGGACCACATTCTGGGCTGTGGAACAGGCTTCCACAGAGCAGAGAGAATGGATGCCATGCAGGGAATCCAACCAGAAACCAGTAACAGGAAGGTAAGAGGAAAATGTCCAAATGCTTGCAAATGAAGTGGCACTCTTGCAAATAATCCATGGGCCCAAGAGAAAATCTCACGGGAAATCACAAAGTATATTGAAGTGAATAAAATGAAAGTAAAATATTTCACAGGTGGTAGGACAGAGCTCAGACAGAACTGAGAGGAACACTCATGAAAGTAAACATATACATTGGAAAAGGAGAAAATCTGAAATTAAGAGTTTGAACGCCTCCTCCCAGAACCTAGAACGAGAAGAACAGAATAACCTGAAGATGGCCAGAAGGAAGAAAATATTAAAAATACAAGCAGAAATCACTGAAATTATGAAAAGGAAATAATAGAAAAAATAAATGAAAAAGAGCAGGTTCTCGGAGATGATCAAGAGAGTTGGCCAATATCTCAAAAGAAGGACAAAAAATAGGGAAGAGACAAATTGCTAATACCAGGAATGAAAGGGACCCCTCACCAAGCACCCTACAAATAGGAAGTGGATGACAGTGCCACACACAGTGGTTCACGATGAGCTTGCCCTGGGACATCTCTTCCAGTGTGAAGTAGACACTTTGAATGCCTGGTAGCTAGTGAGGAAATTGACTCATAATGTATACATTTTCCCCCCAAAGCAATCTCCAGGCCCCGATGGTTTCACTGGGGAATTCAACCAGGCATGTAAAGAATTAACACTAATTCTACACAACCCCTTCTAGAAACTAGAAGGAGAGGGAACGCATCCCGGTTCATTCCGTGGAGGCAGTGTTACCCTGGTACCAAAATCAGACAAAGACAACAAAAAGGGAACAATAGGCTGTTATCCCTTATGAATAGACAAAAAATTCCTTAACCAAACCCAAAGAAATCAAATAATAGTGTATATAAAAAATTATACACTTTCACCAGGTGGGATTTACTCTAGGGATGCAAAGCTCTTTTGATATTTCAAAATCCATCAATGTCACCCATCCTATTTAATGGATAAAGAAGAAAACCATATGATTTTATATCAATAGATGCAAAGAAAAATTTTTTTGGCAAAATTCACATCTGTTCTGACTAAAAATTTGCAGCAAAACAGCACAGAGGTGACCTTCCTCGACCTATAGAAAGAATCTACTAAAACCCTGCAGCTCACACATAATGCTGAAAGTTCTACAGGATCGTCATGCAAGAAAAGGAGATACAAGACCACAGAGTGGAAGGGAAGAAATAAAACTGTCCCTTTTTGCAGATTTGTGATTTATCTATGCAGAAAATTCCAAGGAATGTACAAAAAAAGCCTCCCAGAACAAATAAGGGGCATCAGCTGGTTGTAGGACACAAGAGATACACACAAAAATCAATTATATTTCTATAGACTAGCAGTGAATGTGTACAGACCTCAATTAAATATACAGTGCCATTCATAATAGATCAAAAAAGCAAAATAATAAGGTGTAAACCTAAGAAAACATGCAAGACTCATTCATTGAAAACTCCACAGTGTCAGTGGAAGAAATCAAAGATCTAAATAAATGGAGTGGCATACCATGTTCATGGATTGGAAGACCCTGCTGAAGAGGTCAGTTCTTCTCAAAGTGATGTACAGTTTTAACACAGTTCCTCTCAAAATCCCAGCAATATTTTTTTTATATAGACAAGATACTTTAAAAATTTATATGGGAATTCAAAGGAAGGAGACCGGCTAGAATAATTTTGAAAAAGAACAAAGTAGGAGGCATGGATTGACTACTTTCCAGACTTTCTAGGTAACCACAGTAATCAGGACTGTGTGGTGTGGGGCAAGGGACGGACACAAGACCAGTGAAACAATGGGAAACCCAAAAACACACCCACACAAATTTGCCCAACTGATTTCTTTTGGAAAATGTGCAAAGCAAGTCACTGAAGGGTTATGAGTTCAAAACCCACATGTAGAGTTTACTTAAAAAAAAAAAAAAAAAAAAAAAACAACCAAAGTCTTGTATCTTACACCAGAATTAACTTAAAAGAGATCATAAACAAATACAAAACTGTAAAACTTTAAGGAAAAACACATAGCAGAAAATCTTTGGGATCCAGGCTACTCAAGAGTTATTAGACTAGCACCCGAAGTGCAATCCATAAAAGGGAAAATTGATGAAGTAGGACTTCATCAAAATTGAAAGAATTTTCTATAGGAGGAACCTGCTAAGAGGTGAAAGGGCAGACAGACCGCAGACTGTGAGAAGATTTTGCACTCCAAACCTCGGCAGTAAAGAAAGAAACAACCCGATCAGAAAGCAGGTAAAAGCCAGGAGGAGACCTCTTACTGAACAAGATGGACAGACGGCAGAAGAGCACATGAAAGACACCCAGCGTCATTACCACCAGGGAAATGCGAGCAATCACTACAGACCCAGCATAACGGGTAAAATAAAAAATAGTTTCAACACCACGTGCTGGTGAGGATGTGGAGAAACTGGAACTCTCCTGTCCTGCTGGTGGGGGTGGGACACGGTGCAGCCTTTCCATGGGAGACAATCTGACACTTTCTTAAAAAAAACCCCTACACGTGCCAATATATGTGATTCGACAAGGAGCCCTGAGTTTTTATCCTGAAAAAATAGATTGACGCTCGCGCCAAAGCCCGCACCCCGGTGTTTATAGGGCATCTCTGTATAATTCCTGACCTCTGCATATGAATCCAGAATGATCTCAGACTCACAAGTTCAGTGTCAGTCCCACTGGGGGAGCGGGTGGGGATGTGGTTGAAACAATGTTGGCTGCCAGTTGGACAAGCTGGGTGGAGTCTCCGTGCAGCTTTATTGTACTGTTCTGCCTACTTCTGGATGTGTGTGGGATTTTATATGTTGAGGAGTTAAAGTATAAATCCGGGAGCCCTTGGTGGTGAGTAAACGTGGGTGCGGTCCACACGTGTGCACGGGGCACTCCCGTTCACCAGCCCTGTCCTCTTGTTGGTGCAGCGCATATAAGCAGGGACTGATCCAGGGATCCCACACTGGGGAGAACCAATTCCTGCTGGTTGTTTGCCTGGTGAGGAGGTCTGGAGTTTGAAGGGTGAGCAGGGTTCAGTACGTGCTAACTAGGCTAAGGGAGAAATCGAAGTTTCTGACTTTGTTGCTGTTCCCGTTATGGTCTCAGTCACATCAGCGCTCAGTTAGTGCAACACCACACTGCATAGAATCCCCTCCCTGTGTCTTACTGCATCAAAAATAATGGGGTGTCAGCTGAGTCCCAATCAACCCAACCCAGTGCCACCAGGTTACTTCGGGGACAACCCACAGGACAGGTGTCAGAGAAAGAGAGGCGGACACCAGCTGAAGGTGGGAAAGCCATGCTGCAGGTGAGCAGTAGAGACCCCGAGCAAAGGGACAGGTCAGCGGATGGAAAGTTCCCAAAATGGATGTCAGGGGGAGGGGGATTCTTGTTAAACTGGCCCAGCAGGGATTCTTGCTGCAGAAGGGCAGAGGCTGGGTGGGCTGGGTAGGGATGACTTTGCAGAATCCTGGCTAAGACAGGGCCCTCCAGGGACAGGTGTCCAAGGCCGAGGTCAAGGCCTCGTGGAGAAGGGGCTCCCAGGACCCTGACTCTGAGGGCAGTGCGTGCCCTCTGCTACCCGGCCCACGTGTACTCTGTTCTGGTTTCCTCCAGGTCCTCTGGCCACCTAGGTTCAGTGCCAGGTGTCCCCAGAGCCTGCCTGGCCCGCCCCCTGCCTTGAGCCCCTCACATCCACCCCTCACCAGAAACAAGCCTCTCTGCACTAAACAACCAGAAGAATCAGGAAGCATGCCCAAGGGTGCCCCAGGTGTAGAAACAGATGCTGGAATGAGAAGCCAAGTTCCCGGGGGCTGTGGGGGGGGGGTCAGAGCTGGGACTGCCCCTCCCTGACCCGCTGTGCGGGGCCCCCAATAAGCTCCTCTTTCAGCGCCGGCTCCAGGACAGCAAGGGACCTTTAAACACTTACCCAAACAGTCAGCATTTATTTATTTATTTATTTATTTATTAAGATTTTATTTATTTATTTGAGAGAGAATGAGAGACAGAGAGCACGAGAGGGAGAGGGAAGAGGGTCAGAGGGAGAAGCAGACTCCCCGCTGAGCAGGGAGCCCGATGCAGCACTCGATCGCGGGACTCCAGGATCATGACCTGAGCCGAAGGCAGCCGCTTAACCAACTGAGCCACCCAGGCGCCCAACAGTCAGCATTTAAATAGGAATTCAAATACTGTTGAATTCTCCCAGAGGTGCTGGGGACGGGATGGGGCATAGGTGCTGGAGCAGGTGGGGCCATGAGCTAGACCCAGGAGGGCATGCTGCAGGGTTTTCTGTCTGACACAGTGAGCCCCATGAGGATGGAGACCTGCAGGTCCGACTCACCCGGGACCCTCCAGCACGAGCCTGGGTAGTCGGTGTGTTCAATGCATCCCTGACCCGCCTGGCTCGCGCCCCGGGAAACATGTGCGTGCAAGGACACCATCCTTAGACTTGTCAGCAATTCCAGATCTGAGCCTGTGATACTGGGATTTCTAGTAAGACAGATTTGGTCTCCGTGCCCTTTCCCAGCACAGAGCTCCCCTAAACCCTTGGAATTCCCTAAGGGGAGGAGCAGAAAGGTGTCTCCTGTGATGCTAACCAGGTGATGCTTGGGAAGCACCTGAAGGTGGGGTCTGGTTGCCAGGGGAACCGACCACGTGGTTTTAGGATGAGACCTCTCAGCCCCACCCCCTGACCTCGGGCGGGGAGGGGCTGCAGGTTGAATCAATCACCAGTGGCCAATGATTTATCAGTCATGTCCTTATAATGAAACCCCAATAAAATCCCAAAAGGATGGGGCCAAGAGCTCCAGGTTTGGTGAGCGGCTGGAGATGTGGGGACCAGTCAGAATATCAGTTATTCTGTCTTTTCTGACCTGAGACTGAGCCTTGATATTCACCACGTAAGTGGGAAATAATGAGGGAATGTTTCATCACAAAATTTGTCTCTGATGTACGTCAGCTTTGAATTTGATCCGGGAGAGATTTGTTCAGTTGAGGTGAAATCCACAGAACGTGAAACCTGCCGGGAACGTGAACAGCTCAGTGTCGGTTAGTGTAGCGTGTAGGACCCCATCTTTGTCAGGTTTCACCCCGCTGTCCTCCGTGATGGCTTTGCAGGTGGTATTTAGAGACCACTGGGGACATTGGTCCCTTCATTGGTGGCAGTGAAGGTGATCGACAGGCAATGTGAGTTTCTTGAAAGAGGACACCTTTATACTTTATACAATTTCCATTTTGTCTTCACATTGTTCTGGGGAGAGGGGCTGGTCCTTCTGGGGTCCAGGCTGTCACGAGAGCAATGTCCCCTCTCCTGCTGACCAGGAGGGATTCTGATTCCCCAGGGAAGGACGGAGTTCTTGGGGCTTCACCCCAGCCTCGGGTACAAGGGTGTGCTTGCAGCCATTGGGACCCCTTGGAGTTGGTTTCAAACGGGTGACATTTGCCAGAGGGCATATCCAGGACCTTCTTGTTGAGAGAGGGAGCCAGAGAGAGTACTTTGAGCTAATGCTTTATTTTTGTTTAAAAAAAAAAGTTGTCGTTCTTCAAAGCTTGACAAATTGTAAAACGCTTCTACTAGGCGTCCCCTTTCCTTCCTGTACCCAACTCTGCTTTTCTTTTGAAACTTTATGAACTTCTGATGAGAATGTTTATAACAGGAATGAAGGCATGCGCTGAATGTGAGCAGGCTGTGACGTTTGCAGACCCCGATGACTTTGCATCTTGCAGCTCCTGCAGGCAAGCACGTTTGCACAGTCCTGGTAGTGTGTTTACACGTGGAGGTGCATGCATGTGGACCGGACAGGAGTATCCGTGTTGTGCACGCCCCTGACACCCGGTGCATGCCGATCGGTGCTGGAGAAGGCCTTCTGGGGACTGTGGACCCCACGTAACTGGTATGGGTTAGCCTTGGGTACACCGGCCCCTGAACCCTGGGGCTCCTGATTAGGAAAATGAAGAAAGGACAGTTGAATGTTTCAAACTATATTTAAAAATCAACAAACATCCCTGGTGGGCTCTGCTGGAGTCTGTGTGCAGCTGGGCCTGGGAACGAGAGCGTTCATTCACTCAGGTGGAATGTGGCTCTGAAAACACGCCGTGTTGGCCTTCCGTGCTGACACCTCATTCCCAGCAGGCCAGCCTGGAAGTGTCCCCACGTGAGCGGACCGTTTCCCGGCCAAGATGAATGCCGTCCTTTGTGTGCTTGCTTTTGGTTTAGAGGGATCTTTGTTTTTCCCAATTTATTTGAATCTGCTCATTTCTTTCCCCTCGGGCGGACTGTTCTTGAATCTCAGAGTAGAGGTTCTTCTGTGTTTCCCCTGGTTGGGGGTGCTGTGAGTCCCCCCATTCTGAGCCCTGCCAGCCAGAGGGCAGGACCAGCCCCAGCCCTTGGGGGACAGGCTCCTGGGGGCCTGAGTCGCCTCCCTGGCGCTCTGCGGTCTGGTTGTGGGACCTCTCAGGACCGTTTTTTTAAGTTTATTTATTTGAGAGAGAGAGAGGGCATGAGCGGGGGGACATGCCATCTGCCTTACCCCTCGTTCCTGGCTGGGGACCCCCGCCCCTCGTTCCTGGCTGTGGACCCCCTCCCCGAGCCCTTGGGGGTGTTCACCTGAGCCCCCAGGTTAGGGTGCGTCCCTGACCCAGAGAGGCCCTGCCCAAACCGCCCTGATTAGGTAAGGAAACACCGTCTTGGGTTTAAATGCCATCATGTTTTAGCACGTGTTCACGTGCACATGGAATAGCACGCCTGAATACATAGTGCGTGTGCATATTCCTGATTAGGCCTAGATTGAGGGGTCCTTTGCTTTTTGAGCATTTATTACAAGTCAGGCACTTATACGTGCATACATAGAGAAAGAGCTAGTTTATAGAAAACCCAGGAGCCAGGGAAGTAAGAATCCAATCATTTGGAGAACATTTCGATGCTCCAGCAAGGCCCAGTGTGTGCTGGGGAGAGGACGGCTTGTGGGTGAATTTTGCATGCCCTCAGGTACAGGCGGTCTGACCAGGCTTTGGAGGACCCTGACATTGGGCTACCGTGAAGTCAGACTATAACTGAGTTTTGTGTTTGCTCTTCATCCTTTCTCTGCAAAAGCAGATCATCAGGCTGGATCGGAAGCAGCCCGGAGCACGCCTTCCCGGGTGCTGGTGGGCGGGGGATCCCCGGGAAAGCAGGACCCTCTGAGGATCCATGTCCCCTGTGTGTCCTGTGGAGCTTTCCCGAGACCCCTTAGTTCCGTGTTTCTAGGGCAGAGCCCTTGCTGGAGACCTGCGTGCGGGTCACCGGACGTCTCGTCTGTGTGGTCCCGGAGCCCCCTCTGCACTCGTGGGAGAAGCCTGCAGTCTGCGAGTGAACCCCCCCCGCCCCCGTCTCAGCAGCTTGCCTGTGAAGTTCCCGAACTTCCCTCGCTACGTCATGCACTAAGTCCTCAGACCCATCCTACGGTGCCCCAGCCGTCAGGCGTTGGATTTGGCTTCACTGGGTGAATCGCAGGCCCCACGAGGATGCGTTGGGCCGGTGGGCACCTTCTGAGCTGAGTGTACAGAGGGAGGGCAGCTGGGCCATGTCCACATTTGATCTGTGACCACTGACCTTGGGGTGACCCTGCTGGGGCCCAGTGAGAGTGAGCTCAGGGGTGTCCTCCCACTGACCCAGGTCCTCTTGCAGAGCGGGGGACAGCAGTTTAAGGGGACAGCTTCTTGACTTCTTTGGAGCACAGCCGTGAGATCGGTTTTATCCCCGTTGCTACTGCCGAGCATGGAGGAGACGCAGGCCGGGCAGACACATCTCCAGAAGGTTCTTCGGTGTCTGTAGACTCCCACCCAGGGAATCCCGGTCGTGGAATGCTTGCACAAAGTTACACAGCAGCAGTGTTTCGGAAAGCGTGTCCTGCTTCCCCTTGACCCTCCCGGTGGCTGCCCCATGTCCGTCAGCCCCGCGGCGTCCGCCAGGCACCACGGGAAGGGCCCACCCTGAGGAGCGCCTTCCTGGGCCTGGCTGCACGATGATCATCTTCCTTTCTGTTCAGGGAGAGTCGGTCCACGGGAAGGGCCCGTCCATCCGCCAACTGAGGCTGTGCTGGGCTGTAGTCAGACATTTCCGACAGATGCTTTGCTGCCCCTGCTGCAGGCACATAAACAAGCCGGAGGAAGTGCCCTGCACAGACCTGGGGCAGCCATCCCGGGGCTCTTCCTGGCCAGGAGCTCAGAGAGGTGGCCCCGGGGGTCCCTCACACGCCCCTGTCCTGTGAGGGGCTCGTACCTGTCGGCTTCCACCACGGTGCTGGGATTTGAGGGATGAGTGGGTCTGTGCCCGACCCATGAGGCAGGAGAGGCAAGGGGTGAGTGCCCACTGCATGCTGTGCTTGATGGGCCTCCACCGAGAAATGCACATCTGCCTCTCGGAGCTTCGGTCTTGAAGGCCAGCCGCATGCCTCTGCTCTGCTCTATGGACTCATCACAGTCCGGTTTCAGGCCACAAGGGATGGAGCACATACCTCCATCGGACTGTTGGGGATGGTGTTCTGAGTCTTGTAAAAATGCAGGGTCATTTTTTTTTTTTTTTTAGATTTTTTATTTATTTGAGAGAATGAGAGATAGAGAGCACGAGAGGGAAGAGGGTCAGAGGGAGAAGCGGACTCCCTGCCGAGCAGGGAGCCCGATGTGGGACTCGATCCCGGGGCTCCAGGATCATGACCTGAGCCGAAGGCAGTCGCTTAACCGACTGAGCCACCCAGGCGCCCCAGGGTCATTTTGAAATGGGCTTTGAAGAGTGTATAGGAGTTCTTCATCAGTTTGTTTTGGGGGGTGGGGCTGGCCTTTTAGATAGAGAGAAGGACAGAAACAGAGAAAAGGGAAGAGAGGAATGTTCAGGTCTGCCAGCAGCCTATTGGTGGAATCGGCTGCCAGTGAGGGGCCCGGGCTAAGAGCTGGAAAGAGCCTCTGTAAGTCTGTCGGGTGGCGGGTGTCAGTCAGCTGCGTCCAGGAAGAACACCTGCAGGGTTTGAGCTGGAGGAAGGTCCCCGGTTGCCCGGGGCAGGGGTGGAGTGAAGGGCTTAGGCTGGTGGTGGGGGCCCGGTGAGTAGTATGCCCCCGCCCAGGGGACCTGGGTAGGCGGGGCAGCACTGACCAGGGACTCCTATGGCTGTTGGAGGCCTCTCCGTTGTGAGCGGTGGACCCCAGGGAATCTGGCCCACTTTGGGGGAGGTGGTGTTGGAGGGGCGGGCGTTGGGGCAGCAGACCCGGCTGTGCGGGGTGGGGGGGTCCTTCTGTACTCACTGCTCACCCCTTTGGCTGACGCTGGCCCCTGGGCTGGAACGGAGCTGGGGAGGGTTTCAGCTGGGGGTTTGCAAGAGGTTAAAGCAGAGAGAAAAGGGAAAAGGACTGGATAGGAAGCGGACCGTGCAGTGAGCGGGCGGGGCCGCCCGAGTCTGGAGGCACCGACTGGGCAGGCGGCCCGAGCAGCAGTCCCGGATTCTTTCCCGGCCACGCTCTCCCGCCGCCCTCTGAATGGGCCTCCGCGGAGGTGGCCGCCCCCGTCCCGCCCCAACCCCCCCTCCCCCCGGGACGCCGGAACCCAGAGTCGCCCTGCCCCGGGGGTGGGGGGGGGACGCTGCTCACTCCCAGGGCCGCCTGGGACAGCCCGCCGAGTGCCTTCCGCCGGGCCCACGACTTCCCGGGCCCCTGCATGGACCGAGCGGCGCCCTGCGCTGCCCAGGTAAGCGCCGCTCTCTCCGGCCCCGAGGCCCGCCTGCAGGGGGGCCCAGGCTGGAACCTGAGCTCCCCAGCGGTGGGGGAGGGGGCTGGGGGGGAGGGGACGGGGCATGCAGAGTCCCAGGGCCAGGGAGCCCGGGAGAGACCAGACTTGGGAGGGTGCCTCTCCCCGTGTCCCCTGTCATTTGGCAACAGCCCTCCAGCCCTGAGACTCTGTGAAAGACGCCCCGGCCCAGGACCCCGGTGGGAGGGCCCCTCCTTCCAGAAGAAAGCCACGCTTTGTCTTTGCCGAGACTCACTGGGGCAGATGCAAGCCTGCTTCACAGATGTGTGGCTTTGGGAGCCAGGCTGCTTCCCAGCACAGCACATTCTTTTGCTAAAACCGAGAAAGCGCGCCTGCCCGTTCCAGGGCTGTCCCGTCCGCCCCAGGGCCTGAGGGAGGCCGGCTGGCCTGGCCACAGAGGCCCCGGGCTGCACCCAGGTGCTGTGCCCCGGCGCCCCAGCTTCCCGGGAGGAGGAGGGCTGTCAGCCGAGGCGGAAGGCAGGCGCCAGGAGCAACGTGGGGTTTCCGAATGAGGTTGACTATTGTCCGGGCTGCTACTGGAGCCAGAGGGAGGACGTCTGAAGGAGCCCGGGATTTTAACACAAGACACGCAGTCAGGACATAACCTGCTCACGTCATTATGTTGCCAGAGCCTTGGGGTGGGGGTCTGGGTCCCTCCCTGCCTCTGCCCTCCGACCTGGCCCAGGTGAGCCTGCAGGGCGTAGGCAGGTCCCTGGGACCGAGGGGTGTGTGTGCTATAGAATGGAAGGATGGGGACCAGTAAGAGGGAGAAACAGGAAAACCCCAAATGTTTCATAGTGGAAAAAGCTCTGCAGTCTCATGGAGAAAGTGAAGCTGCAGCTTGTCAGTGGTCGCCTTCTGGTTCTTTCTGCCTGCAGGTCTTGAGTGTTCTCCCTCCCAGCATGGCCAGAGTCCTCTCCTCCCGACTGGAGGCTTGTGTCTGGTCCCGCGTTACCCGTTGTTCTAATGCAGTTTGTACACAGTGGTCACACTTCCAGTGAATTTCACGTGTATATCGATAGATTAGAAATCGGGTCACACGGGGATATTTTTTATGACCCCAGAGTTGAGATTCGAGAGTTTTGGTCTGTTGATTCCAGGAGAGAGAGGTCATTCCCCCGCTCCATGGGTGTCGGTGGCTGGGTGGGGTCCCAGGCTGAAGACGACTCACAGGCACCTGTGCCTTCTCAACATGGTGGCGGGGGGACCCTCCAGCGCAGGCCCCTCGTCCTGCCCAAGGCTGCCTCCTGTTGTATTTGGGGGGAAGAGGCAGTAGGGCGGGGTGATCTTACACTTAGGTTCCGACTTTGACATCTCCCCGGTGTGGGGCAGGGTGGCCTCGGGGACAGAACACAGCTTCCCAAGTTGCAGAGATGAGCTGGTCTCCTTTGACTGAGTTTCTTAGTTCCCCTAGGTGCTCAGAAGCTCTGTGTCCCCGTCTGCAATGCAACGCTGTTGGTTTGCACATGGAAACCTTTTCATGAGGATTAATTCGGGTGACGCCTCCACGTGGCTTAGCCCAGTGCCGGGCATGTGGTGGTCAGCACTCAGCAAAAAGCCATTGTTACTCTGCTTTCTGTAATTCTCTTAGTC